AACAGAGTTGTGTGTGTGTGTGTGTGTGTGTGTGTGTGTGATGATGATGATGTTGCTGGAGGCTACAAGCATTTGTTTTCTACAAAATGACAACAGGCAGATGGAGCCACATAAAATATTAATGAAGACCTCTATATATATGTGTGTGTGTGTGTGTTCTTGTGTGTGTGTGCGCGTGCGTGCGTGTGCGTGTGCGTGTGTGTGTGTGTGTGTGTGTGTACGTGTGCGTGTGTGTATAATCTTATGCTCCACTCAAAAATATTTAACTGACTAGAAATTGCTCTTTGTGTGTGAAATCTCTCAAATCTTTATCTTTATGCAATATACACAAATCAGAACACTTATTTTGGCTTTACTTTAGATCCAGAAAGCCATTTTAACTTCTCTAGCTCTATAGAAAAGCAGACACACCTGTCGTAACAGACTGTCTGTCTGGAAGGGACAGTTGTTGAGGTCGTCAGTGTTGCCCCTCTTCCTGCACACGGTCCGTGAGATCTCCACTTCCAGAATATAGCGGATGCCTTTGACTATCTATGGCAGAGCAAAGACTGGATGACGTATGTATACACATTACACACACATAGTGAGACGTACGGGCACCTTGAGTTATACCTGTCTCTTTGCGTCATCAACAGCTGATGCTTTGAACAGGAAAGCATCGTTGGATTTATTATTAAATGAGTAGGTTCCAGTCAGGACGGCCTCCTTCACCCCAGTGTCATTCTTGCTGACGTTCTGTAGAGTTCCTGGGATCGGTCTGCTGACGAATGTGTGAACTGGAACTTTCTCTGAAGTCGAAGAAGAAAAATGTAAACAGGTTTCCATATAGACAGCAAATTACTCGATTGGATAGACTATATCTTAGCAATTTAAGTGTCCATGTAGTACATCCTTACCAGAAAATACACAAAAGTAAACATCTTTATCTACAGAAAGAATTAAAGGAAAATCTAATAAAAACATCTTACCGAGCGAGCATGAGCCTGCTAAGAAAAGCAAGACTAGAGTCTGATAAGAGACCCTCATGTCTGTTGAAGTTCTCTCAATTCTACTCAGCAACTTCCTGTTCAGCAACACTTCAACCACCAGCCGTGTGCTGCAGTCCTCCAGAGAGCAGGCACATTTCCCATTGGTCAACAGTATTGTTTCCTACATGGACTCTCAAAGGCCTTACACAGGAGCACAGGTGAAGTCAATGGACTGCTGATTACTGCTTGAGTGCTATACGATGTTCCTTAAAGATGCTGCAAAACTTAGGATATTTTTCAGTTTTGTTAGGTCCAAATAATTACAAGTGAGTGTAGATGTTGAGGGTTTGCTTCTATAAATATCCAACTTTGTAGAGACCACCGGAATCACCAAGAACAAAGAACTGAATCCTTCCTCAAACTGAACCGAAAGAGGCTGTGTGTGTTGAAATGCTTTGAAAGATGCAAGTGAACTCCTGTGGTTTCCTCCCACGTCCGGTGATGAAATGCGCTGATAAGAATACACGCTTACATGTGAGTAATGCATATGAATGATGATTTATTGGCTGAGCAGAGCAAAAGCATGTTGATTTGTGTTAGATCAGAGATCAGTGTTCTTAAAGTCAAATTGAAACTGCATTTGCAACCCATTTTAGGCAAGTTATTATTATTAGCCTGTTATTATTTTTCTGATAAACCATGTAACACCAGAAGAAAGCAAAACATTAAAACAATTAGATAAAGTAATTGATGATATAAAAATTAACAAATATGATGAAATCATGCATTGGTAAATAATAATTATGACATCAAAGTCAAAATTACTATATATTAAGTAATAATTGTGGGATAAAAAACATTTTGTGTGTGTGTGTGTGTGTTTATTAGGTATCATAATAAAATCTGATCTCAATTTCAATTTATGTCATAATTGTGACTTTTTATCTCATTATTTCGACTTTTTATCCAATAATTGAACATTTTATCTCGTAATTATGACTTGGAATCTCATAATTTTGACATTTTATGTCATAATTATGATTTACTAAAGCCTTTTTTTTACCTGATGTGGAGGAAATGGGCTTCCATATGCAAATAACCTTCTGAATTGCATGCTCGCATCATATTAAAATCTGATCCTATTTATGATTATTTGACTTTTTAGCTCAATTTCGACTTTTTATACCATAATTATGACTTTAACTCATAATGACAGCATTTGTTTCATCACTACTGACTTTATCTCATAACTATGAGTTAGTATATCATAATTTGGACTTTTTGTAATAATTGATTTATCAAAGCATTAGTTTTTTTTCCTAATCCTATTTACTGACTCTCATAATTTTGACTTTATCTCATAATTTTGACACACCTCTTCAGAAATCACTTAACCGGCCCATACCCCACACCTTAAAGAGTTAGTTCAGCCAAAAATGCAATTCTGTCGATTCTGTGAAAAGAATACAAAAATAATGGCTTTATTTAACAATTTCTTCTGTCAGTCTCCGTTCTGACATAAAACCCGGATGTGCTGCGCCTTGTTTACAAGCAGCGGAAGATGCTGTACATAAAACAGTTTTCATAAACGTCTGAAGATTTTGACAGAGAGGCTGACTTGCAATTTTTTGTCCAGCCTTACTTATTCAATCCAGAATATTAGAGAAGAAATTTTTAAATAAAGTAATTTTATTTATTTATTTATTTATTTTGCGCACAAAAAGTATTCTCGTAGCTTCATAACATTTACAGTTGAACCACTGATGTCACATGGACTATTTTAATGATGTCCTTACTACCTTTCTGGGCCTTGAATGTGTCAGTTGCGTTGCTGTCTATAGAGGGTCAGAGAGCTCTCGGATTTAAAGGGGTCATATGATGCGATTTCAATTTTTCCTTTCTCTTTGGAGTGTTACAAGCTCTTGGTGCATAAAGAAGATCTGTAAAGTTGCAAAGACTAAAGTCTCAAATCCAAAGAGATATTCTTTATAAAAGTTCAGATTCAGCCACACCTACCTAAAACGGCTCGTTCTAACACACCCCCACATACCTACGTCACGATCTCGGAAGATTTGCATAACGCCGCCCAAACGTTCACGCAAAGAAAGAAGGCGTAACTTATATTCTCGCTGTAGTATTGTTG